ACATCTGCCCGAGCAGCGTGTTGTGAAAGTAATGGTCGATCGTTGCAAAACCTGATGGTTAGCCGCAGTTCTGTTGCAAGTGTATTTTAGATGGAATTTCAGTAATTTTTTTAATTGTTTTTTTTTTAGGAAATAATGTCTTCGCTGCAGCATTAAACACTCTAAACGGGCGCAGTCGGGTCTGTTTTTATTTTTTCGTTTTTTTTTTTTGCGGAAGGCGAGGTTGGACGTGTAAGTTCCGCAGAAAAAGGCGACGGTTCTCTTGGGCGCGAACCGAACCGGATTTCGGGATTTCGATATGACGGCGCCGGCGTTAAAGTACTCCACCAATCAACACCGCAGTTGCTTTTCGTGCTGTTTAACCTTTTCTAAAATCGTTTTCCTAAATTGCGTTTTTGAGAGAGGCGGTTTTAAACGATTTGTATAGATCAATTTCCTTATTTCTCTTAAAGAGGCTTTGAGTCGTATCTCCGAAGATACTGATCCACAAAGATGGGCAGAGGGCGAACGAAAATGAAAATCTTCCAGACAGAAAACGTCAGGAACGAAACAGTTTGTTAGTATTAGTAGTAGGTACCAAAACTTCAACTTTATAATGGGAAAGCGCTACTGCAGTCATTTTAACAGAAACGTTTTTTTATCCCACATACAGTACGAATAGAGTACAATGAGGACATATATTCTTAAAAGATAGAGTTATTGGTAACACAGATAAGGAGGATGCTGTCACGGCCTGAAACGTAACTTCAAGCCTCTCAGTTTCTCCGATGAAAGATATACTGTAGGAAGTATTTTCCACTTATCTCATTTTAGTTTTGTTTTCTCTAGAAGCGATTTTATGTTTCAATGACATGTCATTTTGTAACTCGCTCGGTTTATTGTTAAATGTCGGTGCCATTACTGAGCCCGAAGTGTACATCTCTTCCTGGAAAAAAAAAAAAAGCACTATGCAGCCACATGTTGTCCTAAGACATCAAGCCTTCAGCCACTGATTATTTTTTTAGCCCCGGAAAGAAAGCTACACAGCGCGCCGAAGCATGGAGCTTGTTCCACACACCCACAACCCTGTGTGTAAAGAAGTGCTTCATTTTTTTTTAACTTGAAAAAGTGCTTCCACATAGTTTCCACTGGTTCCCTCTGAGACAGGGAAGTTTGTCTGGCTGTAGCCAGAAAGTCCCTGTTGTACACGTTAGAGTCATGTGGCTGAAAAAGGGGGTCAAAGGTCAGGAATCACCCCCAAGGGGGGCCAGGGCGACATTCACATCCCACCCACAGGTTTTCAATGAAGCAGCACAGACACAGAATTATTCACTGAGATGAGGGAGATGAGGGAGATGAGGCAGACGCTACTGTTGTCACTTGACGCTACGTTAACTGCTGTAACTCTCGGACTGCACAGTGAAACACGAACCAGCTGGCACAAGTGGAAACTTTACTTTTTTACACAAAGGGTGGTGGGAGTGTGAAACAAGCTGCCCGGCCATGCCCTCGAAGCTGATACTCTGGCTGCTTTCTCGAAAGACCTGGGTGAGATCCTGGGATCAGTTAAGCTACTAATTATCAAACGGTCCAGATGTTCTTAAGCCAAGGAACACAAAGAACATAACATCAGTGTCAAACAGAAGATGATTTCCACCTGAGAAGTCCAGATCACCCGCTGGGAAGCCTGAACATCGGGCTGTGGGGCGAATGCAGAGGGGCTGTTTCGCTACAGGCGGTTTCAATGCTGTGCTTCGATTTTGTAATGCTGAAAAAAAACAGTTGTGGTCACGCGGGCCCTCGAAAACAC